TTTTTTTTTTTTTTTTTGTGTGAATGGGCATTTGATTATCCCTTCATTTGATTCATAACTTTGGAGCGGTTGGGGAGACATGCAGTTAAGTACACTCCAACTCGCATTTAATTTGAATATGTCTTATGCCAGCCGATGCCTGTGTCCACTTCCTTGACGAGAGCTATCTCCAACCTCTACAGTATGCACTGTTTATCCGTTCGGATTTTTATTCAAAAACCAGTGGAAATTTTTTTTCCTAATTTTGTTTTTCACTTGTTTGAAACATTTTTCTTCCAGTAAAAACAAGTTTTTATAATTCTGACTGAATGTTTTATTTTGAAAAAACAAGGGCAGCAAATTTTGTATATTATATTTTGTCAAATCTAAATTAATGTCAAGGTTGCCTGGAGGCAGTAATTTACCCCCCTCTTCACTATGGACCGCATTGTTGTATGCTTCTTCAATGTGTCTGCGGACATACGAATTGATCTCGGACTGGTCCTCACACCCGTCGTGCTTCCCGTGCATTAAGGGAAGAAAACACTTTTTTAAAAATTCAGAATCGAATAAATTTTTCCCAGGGTAGAACCAGTGGATGTTACACTTGACAGAAGTCTGGCTTGTCATGGAGGATAAAATGATGTTAAAAATTATATGAATGTTAAAGTGCGTTATATTATAAAAATAAAAATGATATTTATATTTTTCAAAAACGTAATGTCTTAATGCATATTTATATTTGAAAGGGGATTTCAAATAGGTGTATCTGTACTGTTCCCTTTTCCCCCTTTTCCCTACGATGTGATTTATTCGATAATTTAAAATATATGAGTTCTTCTTTCTTGCTGTGCTGTTTTTTTCTTTTGGATGGTCTGCCCTTTTCTCTGTGTTGGGACTACTTTCCGTGTGACTAGATGCGATGTCACGATACGGCTCACTTGTGTTGAAACTTTTATGCTTGTCTTCATTTGTACATTCCGTGTGATTGTTACTACCGTGTGGAGGGATGCTGGAAGTGATATTTTGCCCATTAAATAGGAGAGGATTCACAAAACGCATCACCTTCTCCACCTGCTCATCAATTTGCACGCTGTAGTGGCTACTCCCATCGCACGTATCTTCTTCCCCCACATGATACTTTATATTTTTACAGCTGTAATTGTTGTACGTGTAAATATTATTTTTCAAATTCTCTATGGTTTTCCTCATTTCACTTCTCCTTCTCGTTATGTACGTCGCTTTAACGTACTTTAAGAAATAGCTCTCTATTCCCATTTTGGGGGGAAACACATCTCAGTAAAGGGGGGCAGAACTAACACATTTGCTGTGGCTTTCATTTGGGGTGTGTCGGCGTACAGACGTCCTAAGCTGTGCCCCCTCTTTGTAGGGGCATATTCTCGTGAGCAAAAATGACCAAAACGCTCTTCACGTGTATGTGTTCAAAGGGGGTGTAATGTGCCATCCAAAATTGAAGAGGTAACCCGCTAGCGAGGACGACTTCACTGAAGGGGCTGTATTAGCACATTGCTAAAATGGCGTACTCGTAGCATATGCGCTGTTTGTGCACCCTTGTGCTCTTTATATAAACGGAGAAAAAAAAAAAAAAAGAAAGGGATGCTACGGAGAAACTGAAATAACGGAAAAGGTAATCGGCGCCTTAAATTTTGCGGGCCATTTTGCAAAGCCATTTCTGCATCATTTTAAAAAAAGTGGAAAAAAACACCCTCCAATTCTTGGCCTAAAAAAAATAGAATATTCACGCAACATCTCAGTCACGAATCCGCAAAGTAGGGACTAAACCACAGTTGGAAAATCCATGCCCATTAAGCACAATATGTACAAACGTCTACGTGCGCACTCTCCCCATTTTTTCTATACCCCGCAATAGGCAATTTACTAATGAGGCACAAATTTCTGAGGGGAGTGAGTCTCATAAGAAGACCTCAAATGGATGTCACCACGTACACCTTTGCCGTAACTGCGGGGATTTCTTTTTGTATCATTAAAGAAAATGAAAAATTGGACTGCGGTGTGTCAAGCCAAGCTGCTCAAGGGCGAGGGAAAGGATCCGTATTAGTGCGTTAACTCCTTTCGCGCGGGAAATGCCACCTCGGTGAGAGCCCACATTATGGTGTAACCAGGAAAAAAACAAGCACAAAAAAGTGCACACAAAATGATATAATAACGTGCGTTGGACATATGATTAGTCGGCTCACCAAGAGTCCTTCAAACAGCCACCTCACCAATGTGTATGTGTGCGGGTGACACTAATAAACGACACCAACGGCTAGCATCGGTATGGAAAGTGTGCGCAAAGGAGAATGGTTTTTTTGTAGAGAGGTTCGATTTTTTTGCCCCGCATAAAACGTGTATATATTACACCGGTGCATGCACAGACAGGGAGCTGGCACCCCATGGACAGTGAAATATTTAGGTGCAATTAGCTTGGCGGCTCCGCTGTCCCAGTTACTACTATCGGCTCGAAAGTACATTTGTTCGCGAGGTCCTTCCCCAAATTGGAAAAAGGCAAAACATTTGTTTGCTTCATTATGAAGCTGTGTAGGGAACTTTCATCTCCGGTCATATGTATATGTATATACGTATATGTGGATATATTTTTTTTTTCCTCTCCCACGTGAAAGACCCCCTCTAGGAATATCTCTACATTTGTCGCATACCCCATTCAGTTTTTACCATTCCTAGGTGTAGTAACTCTTTTTTCTTCTTCTTTTTCTTTCCGTTTATGTTAATTTATATTTCGCAACTCTGGAATAAGAAAATGATTCAATACAACTTCATCCCCGTGAAAGCAAAAAAGGAAGCAAAGCAATACGACAGTGTCATTAGGGAGGCATTGTTTTACTACAAAAGCGGTAACAGACTAAGCTGTAAGGACTACATCGAAAGGGAAAATGATGCACACGGGGGTGTGGGCAAAATATTGGAATCAAAATGGAGTGGACACACAAGCAGCCAAACCAACGGCCATTATAATGCTGAACAAAGTAAACCGAATTGTCCACCTACCGCAGAGTGTCAAAAGAATAATTCATTGGACTGTAATTTATGCTTCTCTGAGGACTTACAAAAAAACGAACTTCTAACTGCGCTGAAGCAATACATCAATGAATATGTGGGTGATCTGCAGGAAGCCAAGTGCAGCGAAATAACCAACTGTGGTGATAAGAAAAGGCTGCTAAAAAAATACATACACGAAATTAAAAAAAATAATTTCCTCGTTTTGGAAGATTTATTTTTCTTCTTCAGTATTAACACTGATTACACGGATTATGCGCTGAGCAAAATGTTCCACTGTCTACTCCTCGTGTTTGAGAAAAAGGAAGAAAAATATGTCTTACTCGTTTTGTACACATTATTAGTGATTATAAATGAGAGTAATATTAACAAATATTTCACCTACATAATTGATGCTTTGATTGCCACTTTAAATGCGCATGAATGCACGTTACCTATTGGTGAGGCTGATGACAACGTGAGGCTGTTCGACCACAAGCCTATGGTTCTCACAAGCTACCTCGTGAATGAAAACGCAAGATATTTCCTGTTCGCGTATTTCTACATCCTCGTGCGGGACGTTTCCGGGCAGCAGGTGGGCGGCGGCACACATTACGGTGTCACACATAGACAGCACCAGAGCATTCCAATTTGGCAGGTCTCTTTCCAATTTGCCCGTTCAACACAATGGCGTGCTTTCATTTCTCCTCTTTTCTCAGTTCATGAACCATGCGGACAAGATAATCCGGGTGTGCCTAATGGGTCTATTCGACCACTGCTGCGAAATAAACTGCCTGATGATGAGCTTCATTGAGGAAATCATCGAGCAAATAGAAGACCACTACGTGAATTACCACTATATCATCAGCACCTGCTTACTCAAATGCCTTTGCAACAAGTACAGTAAAGTGAAAATAAAATGCATGAACACACTGCTGAAGCTAATTCTACATAATAGCAACTCCAAGAATTACAAAATTATTGAAATGCTAATTGGGTATAAGGATCCCAACGTGGTCCCGATAAAAAGTTTCTACGACCAGGCGTATGTAAATATAAATTACTTGTGCAACTTATATAATGATAAAAGCACAAGGGTGAAGTTCCAATTTTACTCATTCCTCTTCATAATTCTCTATGAATTTAACGAGTCAAACGAATTTGACACATTTTTATTGCCCTACCTTTTTTCGGCCTGCTTTGAGAATTATAAAATATTCAGACTGGTTTGCTTTATGTACATCCAACTGATATGCAGAAGGAAGAATTTCGAATTAGACAAAAATATGAATGATGAAATTATCTACCAGTTTAACCCTGAGTGGTCATATAAGACGGCTTTCACTTTGCCGTTGCCCCTCACGGATTATTACTTCCCTCCCTTTTGTCGTAGCTCTTTTCTGGTGAAGAAAAATATGTACACCTTACATGTAGCACATGTACATCCTTGCTGTAGGGGTGGAGGTGGAATCGATGTAGAGTCCCACATAGAGGAACAAAACAAACCGAGTGGTCAAGAAGAAAATATGTTTTACCACCCACATGGGCAGAAAGAACAATTGAACAGTCGGGGTAAGCAGCCAAAGGAAGAATCCCCTTATGAGGAGACAAACGAAGCAGATTATAACCCCAACACAAGCCACCAGAGTGACCAAATGAGGGAAGACGAATATTCTGTAGAGTACCACGAGAAATTACTCCAAAATTTTCTCCAGAGCAATCAACGTATTATGGACATCCTGAAAGAAAACAAAATTACTCAAATAAAAATTACCCACAACGAAATGAACAAACAATGCAAGCAATTATCCTTCACCATTTTAAATGCGTACTTTAAACACCTGTACAAGGAAAACGAGGATGAATCGAATAAATTGGAATCACTCGAGAACGCTAAAATTATTTTGTTACTATTTTATTTTATTGAAGAAAATATAACGGAACATCTTCCCCACTTCTTTACACATCTCATTTCTGTATTTGAAAAAAAGCTAGACGAAGAGCGCTGGTTCATTTATATGAACTGCCTCTACCTCGTTGGTTCTTATGTTAATCCAGCTAACTATTATTTCTTCCTAGAAAATTATTTCAAACATGTAAAGGAGAATAAAAAAAAGAATGTAACCCTCACTTGTCTTTATATGCTAAACAATATTTGCGTTGGGACTATAGAAACGTATAAGGATATTCGTAGAAGGGGACTCACGCGCGATGGGATTCATTCAAGTTTTGTCTTCGTGCTGGAAAAAATTATAGGCCTTTTTTTTGGCGTCATAAATGGCGCGCAGCATGTGGAAAGGTACCTCCTGGTTCTGCAGGTATGGCGAAGCGACGAATGGGTAAAGAGGCAAATTGGAAGGGGAAACCACCCTGTGATACCCTAAACCATTTGTCGTGCTCGAGGGAGCTGTCTCTTTTGGGCTATTCCAATAAGGTGTTTGTCCCTCTGGAAAGGTCACCCCGCTTTGGCGCACCACCTTACCTACCGCGTCACCCCTTGTTGCCCCCTCCCACACAACTCCCATACAGATAATTCACACCATCCTGAGCAGCGAGTGCGCGTACGAGAGGCTGGATGAGAAATACATCACCCAGTTGGTAATACTACTGTACATTATATTCAACAAGATAAAGGACGTTAGAGACAATTTGACCAAAGGAAAGGACAAAATTTGCCTGCACAGTAACTTCTACCTACCGGTGGATGTGCTCGACATTCATTTTTACATCACCAGGTGGGGATAAAAGAGGCTGAGTAGTACAATTAGGCCTTCTCTTCCACGACACAAAATGCTGTAGGCAACCTGGTCGGAACTTGCTACCAAGACAAACACAATTTCTCCAATTGAGAAAAAAATGACCCTGTGGGGAAATATCCCCATTTAAAAAAAAAAACATGGTAAACATGCCCTTCCCATTTGCCCCCCTGTGTCCACCTCCATGCAGAATAAAAAGGATAAAAAATTTCGAACAATTAGACATGAGCCAAGAACAAATAAATATCAACGTGGGGTCAGAAATACTTTACAAAATATTCAACCTCTCAGATGACAACATAAATCAAAAGACAGCAATATTGCAAATCCTGCCAGATGAATTTCTTTACAATTCACATTATATGTACTTCTTAATTCAATACATAATTAAAAGACAGACTTTTTTTTATGACCAAAGTTTTTCCATCTTTTTGTGTAAAATTATGATTAAACTATTCAACCTAAACCAAAACAAAAAAAACATAACCAAAGTGGTACTTTACAACGAAGAGCTAGACTTATATGATGTTCACCAGGAAAGCAAAGACAAAAATTCCAAACAAGTAAAGCACGTATTTCTCGAATACGCCTGTACAATATGTTTACTGTTTATTTTCAAAAATGTAAATATATATGAAACATTCAGCAACGTTGTTGAAACCTGTAAAGTGGTCTTGCATCTCCTCACTGAGGTGAACAATCCCTATTCCTTTTTGTTCTTCGTAAAGCATACAAGGTAAGGAGAGGTGATTCACATGTGTGGAAATGAACGGGCGTAACGTCTATTCTCCACGCTTACATTTTTGCAGGTGCATGGGACGGTCACCACTTCCCCCTAGAGTGCTCCACTGGACACTGTTTTTTTTGTTGTTCATCACCACCCCTTTGCAGACTCGTAAACAAGCTGTGCGATATACTCGAGTGTAGAGAAGCAAAAAGCATCTTTTTTTGCAAACATGTCATAAATGACCTACACATAAATTACGAAAAATATATGAACAACGATGGGGATATAAAATATCTGGACCACATAAACATAGGGAAAAAAATTTCCATCAGAAAGAAGGTGAATGATGAGGTGAATATTCTGTTCTACTTTGTCAGTGCCTGCATTTATTTAATATACTACAAGTCGTTATCCTGTTTGTCTGTGCTGTTAAAAGATCAGGGAGAAGAAATAGGTCACCTAAAAATACATGAAGCTTTTAGAACCCTTTTTGATGGCACAGAAAAACGGGTTCTACAAATATTAAAGGTTCAGGAGCAGGGAAATTACACTGTCTCGAATTTGTATAAAAGAACCATTGAAGATATGCTCCTCCAAAAAAACAACTTTTCAGAGTTATTTTTCTTAAGGAACAGAATTTTAAATTCCCCAGATTATAATGATCTCATATTGAATACCCACATCTATTTTAGACACTCCTTTGACCTACTGCAAGGGGTTCACATGTTCCTACTGAACCCGGTTATTCTTCACTATTTTTATGAAGCGAACCAGGGGAATTTGCCCAGCTCGATCGATGTAAATGTGTTAAGCTGTCATAAGTCCAGCACACTTTCCACAGAAAACCTTCCACTTCGTAGCGACGAAATTGAGCAAGGACCACATAGCAACAGTGATAACAACAGTTATGAGAAACAAAACAATTTCGTAAAAGAAATGGAGTCATTTTTTCAGAAGGAAGAGACACACAATATAGAGGTTATCAAATATGACCACACCAATTTGGAAAATTATTTTAAATCTCATGACCTTGTTTTTTTAATACTGGAACATGGTGTTTATCACGTTCCCTTCCGCGTCCTGGAGAGAAATTCGCTCATTATTTTACTTTATTCCTCCTTGCTATTTTTTGTGGATGATTTTTTTCAAATCGACGTTGTACAGAATGATGACGAGTCATCCTTTTTGTCTAGCACCAGTGTGGGACTTTCGAACAAGTTCTTTTTAAATCCCCTCCAAATTCGTGCGGACCATTTGATAGCCCTCTTCAATTTGGTCATTCTGGTTATATATACGAAGAAAATATATACATGGGTGGATGCCACTGCAGTTAGCAGTTGCTTTGCTTACCACCTGGGCATGCGAATTGAAAAAAAAAAGGATGACATCCTTGTGCAATATGCAAATAATCTTATTTTAACTCCTCCCATCCTGCAGCTGTATCTGGAAAACGAGGACCTGGTTACCGGCGCCTTAATAAAAATGAACAGCAACGAAGATGCTCAACGACCGGCCCACTTTGATAAAGGCATATTTTGCAATATAATCAATAATGTGATTTTCAATTATGGTAATTTGATGGGGAAAATTATCCGCCGCCTCTGTTGAGAGGTCTCCTTCACGTCCATGTCCTTCTGTACATGCGCGTGCGGATTGAATCTTTCATTTTTACTTCATACCTGTGGTGCCCTTCTTCCCTATGCATAGAAAAGAAAAATCTCGTGAAGGAGTCCCTGTGCGGTTGTCTTAGCTTCCTTCTGTCGGTCCTATGCGTCAATTATGGAGGTACCCACTTGTTCAGTTTGCGCCTCCTCCCATTTACTCCAAAATGCCCACAAGAGGAGGTGGGCATGGCACACCCGCTACAGTCGCCATACACATGCACCTTGCGAATTTTTGCCCCTTAGATGTGCTCGAAAATTTGAAGATAACATACACAAGGACCAAGCACGTTAAACGGCTGGATGTCTGCAACAACATCATTAACACATTTCTGTGATGTGTCAAGTTTGTCTGCACAACGCCTCAGACGATATGAGACCATCCCAAAAATTCATGTGAGGTAGCGCGCACTCCTTTTCGATGGATATAGTTGCCCATTTATCCGCGTGAGGAAAACACGAAAAACGCTTAAAAAGGAAGACATGCCACCCACGTCTGTCGTAATTTACACCTTAAGTTTAAATGTAAACACATGCTCATTTTATTTCGTTGCTGTTTTTATGATGAGAATATTTCGCTTTGGATTTTTCCCCTGTTAAATATATCATCCAAATAATTTTTTTTTTTTTTTTTTCTCTCTTTTTTTGTTTTTTTTTCTCATGCATGTTGCTTAATGTGCCGTGAGATGATACAGTGTTGTCATACCGTATAAAATATAACAGTGAAAACGTTAGGGAAATTCTCTTACATAAATGGAGAGTGATATACAAGCATTTTATAAAGGTAAACCGGAACCAACAGGGTGGTAAAATGTTAGATATGCTGCCTATATTGGTTCATAGTGGTTTTCGTAAAAATGGGGTAAATAAGAAAGAAAAAAATTATAAAACAGATTAGGAGAAAAGGTCCCTCCACGTATTCAGTCTTGTGCTTTCTTTCCACTGTACCCCCCTTGCGCTTTAAAACTGGTCGACCCAGCGACGTCACCCCAGTGGCGCGTTTTTTCGCGATACCATTTTTAACCAATTTCTGCAGGCAAATTATAAAACAGGCAAGCTACAAAAAATTTTGTAAACGCTTTTTTTTTTTTTTTTTTTTTTCTCCATTATTTTAATTTATTTTATAAAAATAGCCCTCCCAATGGACCATTCGAATTTCGTATTTTTTTTTTAAATGATGCCCCTTCTGCGTCCCATCCAGTCGTAAAAGGGGCAAAACACAGGGGAGGAATCACTTTTGGAAGGGCATAAAATTCACATAGAGTTATTCCAACTGTACGGCGATATCCCACAGAATTGAAACTTTCCACCCCGTGATTTTTCTGCATGATGAAAAGTTTTCCCTGTTGCTCATAATTCAGCAAGGAGAGCGAAGCATAGGAGAAAAGTGTCCTCAGAGGAGACACACGCGTGCAACATTCCTCGAAATAAAGATGCCCCAGTTAGTACCCGTTTACAATCAGGAAAAGTCGCTAAAGGAGCAGGATGAAAAGGAGCTAATAAAACATCGAAATTGGGACTTCGCCCACTCCTTAGTGAAATTGAAAAAGGACTCTGATGACGACGACGATGCACATGATAGCAGGGTACACCGGAGGTATGACACATAATTATGTGAAAAAAAGGGGAAAACAACTTTGTTCTCTCTTATGTTCGCGTCGTCTGGTTAACCACCCCCCCCCTTTCGTCGAGACATCCCCCATGTGTCCAGATATAATCCTGTCACTTTTGATAAAACAAACATACATCTACATGCTATGCATGTACTTTCTGTGTTAACAATATATATATTCTTTCTCCGTTCTTCCATTTGCAGAAAAAGCAACAACCTCATGAAAAACGAAAAAGGACTATGGGTACCAAAAAAGGATATAGCAGGTGCAGATAAAAACAAGAATGATAAAAAAGGAAAATCTGAAAATAAAAAAAAGGAGCGTGTTAGAAAGAAGCGCAACAAATCAAGTAGTCAATCTTCCTCCGATGATTCGAGGTTATCCAAATCGCCAACCCCTTCGCGTGAATCTTCTAAAAAGAAAACACTCAGGAAACGATCCGACAGTTCAGCGTCCATCAGAAAAGGCTCCTGTAGGGATTCTTCAAGTGCCCCGTCACAGGAAGGCTCCGATACGAGGCGAACTACAGATTCAAAGCCTAGCACAAGCATGAACAGGACAAGTTCCAACGAAAGTGGCACCAAGAGATCCAACAGCAAGAAAGGTCAGAGGAAAAAAAAAAAAATTCATAAAAAAAGTAAAAGGGGGCACAGAGGTGATGACGATGATGATGACAGCTATGATGATAGCTGTGATGATGGACGAGACCTGGAATACAAAAAAGAGGTAAAAGAGGCAAAAAAGCATCGCACAAAGGAAAAAAAAAAAAAAAAATCGAAAGGAGATGAAAATGGTAGTGAAGAAGACCGTACACATGATGCTGAGACGGGTGAGGAAAATACAAATTCACCAAAGAAAGAAAACAGCTGTGAACACAGTGATGTTGACGAAAACGACAAGGAATCGATTTCCTCCGATAGCGATCTTAGCAAACTTCAATACATTGACGTCTCTGAGAAGATAAAACGAAGTAGCAAAAAATATGATACAGGAGGAGAAGAGGACAGCCAAAGTGATGATGAAAATCGGGAAGGTAAAAGGCATAAGCGAATGCACAGACGAGAGCACAAACATGATCATACACATAAGCACCATCGTGAGCATAGCTACGATAACAGGAAAGGGCGAGGCTGGGAAGGAGAAAAAGGTAGCAGGTACGAATCTCACAGATATCACCACAGAAAAGATGACGCGGATGCAAGAGACGGGTCCCTACACGATCGAAGGGATTACAGGCGTAGAGACAGGGACTGGGATCGAGATGGAGAAAGGAAAAGGAAAGAATTTGATTTTTCTGATCAAGAGAATGAATACAATTATAACCATAACAGGAAATATCACAAAAGACATTATGATTATCACAATGATGAAAATTACCAAGGTTATCATCACGGACATAGGAGACACTTCAATGAATGGGATCGACATGGGTGGTCAGACAACAGAACAGGACGTTACAGAAGAACACAACTAAGAGACAACTGCCATTATGAAACAGTTGAGGAAATGCAAAATAAAGCTATCCCCCATGTTGACCAAAGTGAAGATCATGTGGAAGATACAAATGATCAACGCGGTGATGTAGAAACTGAAAAGAGGACGAAATTGGAAGGCGCGGAAATGTCCAACAGCGATGAGGACGAAATGTTGGAGACCAAGAGAGTGGAAGAAATTGATAGGAAGCTTAAGGAAAAACTTGAGGAGGAAAAAATTATGGAATCGCTGGGGTTGCCACTAGGGTTTGTTTAAAGTCAAGTCCCATGCGGATGCATAGAAGATAAAAAAAAAATTCCCTACCATCATACAGGGGACGGTGCGCAGCTTGCTGGTTTGTGTTTGGAGCTTTGTTTATGGATGAACCACTAATATATTATTTTACACACTCACGTGCGAGGAGGCGCATGTCAAAGAAGTACACTTGTTGACTTGCATGCCACAAGGTATGTCCAGACGCTCGCACAAAAAGACACATGTCAGAGGGTACACATAAATGCACGTGCAGAATGCACATACGTACGAACGCATTCCGGAACGGAGTCATGTTCCGGGAGGGCTGACCAATAAAAAAAAAAAAAAAAAACGAAAATTATAGCAAATCTGCCAAATGGCAAACATAACACAGCATGCATTTTTTGTACTGTGTAAAAAACGTCCAAACACACTCGACTGCAAATTATGGTGTGCAACAAATATTCATGGGCAATTTTTTATTTTTTTTATTTGAGGCAGCACCGGGTATGTGCGCTTGGGTACACGGGTGTAGAAAGCGGATCCAATATACTGACTTAAGTGCGTCTACGCGGTGGGTGGCGCCCCTGCTGCGTTGCTTTGCCGCACGTGTTCACCCGTTTGTTGTGCTTATTTGTGTGTTTTTTTTTTTTTTTTTGTTATAAGTATATTTTTTTTTTTTTACCTATTTATGCTTTCCCATGCACACCGACGAATCAGTATGATGAACTGCAACTGTGGGGAGACTTTTTTCCGTTTTGATGCCCTGTGCGGGGCAGGATGAGCTGGAATGGTGATACTCTGGATGAATGCACAATGGCCAACTGCACCCAGCCGTTAGTACCTATACGAGTCACTCTTGTAGGGGCCATCTTTGGTGACGCCCAAAAACTCGCACTGGTTATCATCCAACTGCGTTAGGGAAACATTGAGTTTCTTCAAATGGTAAAGAGCAACCTTTTCATCGAGGTGCTTGGGCAATAAGTAGACTTTGTTCTGATACTTGGAGCTGTTTTTACTTTGCCACAAATCTAGTTGAGCAAACACTTGATTACAAAATGAAAAGGACATGACAAAAGCAGGATGACCAGTAGCGCATCCAAGATTTAAAAGTCTCCCTTTAGCAAGGACGATAATTTTGTTTCCATTAGGAAGAGTTACTCTATCTACCTGAGGCTTCACATTCTCAATATGTATTCCTTTACAATTAAACAGTTCGTTAACTTGTATTTCATCATCAAAATGTCCAATGTTTCCCACCACAGCATTGTTTTTCATTTTCATTAAGTGCTCTAGTTTAATCACATCAATATTACCTGTACAGGTGATAAAAAAATCTCCTTTCTCTACAATTTCATCTAAGGTAACTACATTAAAGCCTTCCATAACAGCTTGAATGGCACAAATAGGGTCAATTTCCGTGACGTATACTCTTGCACCTAAACCTTTCATGGAAGACGCACAACCTTTCCCAACATCTCCATATCCACATATAACAACAATTTTTCCTGAGATGAGAAAATCAGTTGCACGCATTAATCCATCTGGCAGGGAATGTCTGCAGCCATAAATATTATCATACTTTTGCTTTGTCACTGCATCATTTACATTTATAGCTGTAAAAAGGAGTTCATTATTTTTTTCCATCTTTTTCAATCTTAGCACTCCTGTTGTAGTTTCCTCAGACACTCCGATAATTTTCTTCGAAATGTTTGTCCATTTTTTGGGGTTCTTAAGAATGGACTTTTTTAACAAACTCAGGAAACATTTTTCTTCTTCATTTTTTGCTGTCTGTGGGTCAGGTAAAATTTTCTGCTCTTCATACAACTTTTCATATTCAACACCTTTATGTACTAACAGCGCTGCATCACCACCATCGTCCACGATCATATCTGGGCCTGCTTCATTTTCCCATGTCAATGCATTTTCTACGCACCACCAATACTCTTCCAAAGTTTCCCCTTTCCATGCAAACACTACTACATTTTCTAAGGTGCTCACAGCGGCTGCTGCGTAGTCTACTGTTGAGTATATGTTGCATGAGCACCACCTTATTTGGGCTCCCAACTTTTGTAGCGTCTCGATTAGCAGTGCACATTCAACCGTCATATGTAAACAGCCAGTTATTTTTGCACCCTTAAGTGGCTTCAATTTCTCGTATTCTTCTCTGATGGTCATAATTCCTGGCATTTCATTTTCAGAGATTTGCATTTGGAGCTTCCCAAAGGGGGCTAAGCTCAAATCTTTTACCTTGCTCTTGTTTTCACACATGTTGGAGGGGGGGAAAGCGGCGGAGAGTGTTCTACAACAAAAAAAATACTTTTTACCTTTTTCCTCTGTGATGGTATTACTAATGATGAAAGTTGCCCTTTTTTGTTTTTTTTTTATTTTTAGGCCGCTCCCTTGGAGGATCTACGCGAGGGAGAAGAAAAAACACATTCGTGTGGAGAAATATACGCGCAACACATGTATACTCATGGCACATATATGCATGTACGTGCGAACGTCTGTGGATTTCACATTAAGAAGCATCAGCATCAGTAAGAAACACAAAAAAAAAAAAAAATACCTATTGAGCGAAAATTGCGAGCAAGTTTCTCAAGCCAATTTTAGCGCTCGCTAAATTGAGGCATTAGCATCGTGTTCGTGTTTCTGAAAATTTGGTAAAATACGCTTTATTGTGTTGTAAAGTTCAGAGCGTTGTTTTTCCTGTTTGTATGTCGGTAGCATACTTTGCTGTGTTAAAATGTTTTCCTTTGTTGAAGATTTAAACAAAAAAAAAAAAAAAAAAAAAAAGCATAAGTGACCCGACTTTTGGGTGGGGCATTATTACGCTCTGCCTGCACCGATGCTACATCCCCCAAACGGTGAACACAGGAATTTTTTTTTTTTTTTTTTTCTGTTTTAATCTTCTATTAATAGAAAAGTACAACCCATTGGGAGCATTTAAGACTGATGAAGAATAATTCCAGAATCGTCTCATCCTATACTACGCGTTTTCTTTTATGACAATGAGATAGCTAGTTGCACAGTTTTATAGAACAGTTGTGTGTGGCCGAAAAATGCATACATTCATGCAAGCAGGGTGGGCACAGGTAACCCTAGCAGTAGCTTCTTTGTCCCGCCTTCCTCCAGGAAGGGAAAATCACTTGTCAGGATTTCTCCCTCGCGGAGTGTATAATGTACAAAAGAGAACCCACCAGGGATGAACACTGCATTCAGCATATATACGTATATTGTGTGCCTATTTAACAAATCCTATGCAGTGCTGGGAGCCAATTCAGAGCAACGCAAAGTAGGTCATTTGGGTAGTGCAAACAAAAGGTGTGTGCTCTTTGTTGCCATGTTGGGGGTAATGTATGTGAGTTTAAAAAATTGGAACTTTTACACAAGCCGATATTTTTTTTTTTTTTCTATTTTTTTTTTTTTTTTAAACAGGGGAAAGAAAGGCAAACTGCGAGATTTACGCCTTTGGCAGTTGTTTAGATAAGGCCATACTTCCTTTAAGCGAATTTAAGGTTTTTTTTCTTTTTTCACCTTTTGTGGGAGGGGAAAAGAAGAAATGCTTCACCGGAGAAGTCCCCACCATCATCTCCCGCATAAGCCGTGTTTCCTGCATCGTTGCCCCCAATGCTACACACGTGAATAGCCCAGGGAAGCCCATAACTGCCACGAAGCGGAAGAGGCGAAAGAGGCCCTGCAGTGACCACAGGAAGCAACAACATAGCATAATAGTGGCCGCTACACAACGGCGAAGCAGAAAATGCCAAAGCGCACACGCACGCATGCAACCATAACGAGCATAATCCTACTTCTACTTCACGTCCTTCCACAAAATGCGGGTATAAGAATTAAGAGACTGGGTGATGCATTTAATTTTATCGAACCAGCCATCTGGAAAAGCACCTCCAAATATGAAATAAATCCCAACCTGCACTTTGTGCGGAGAATAGAGAAAGGGAATCGCCTCAAAATAAGGAGCTCCCCACATGGGGAACACGCGCAAAGTAGTAACTCTACAGCCATTGGTGAAGAAAATGTTGTGCATGAGAAGCAGGGCAGGAGGAATGATGACATGGACAATGATGTGTCCAGCTGCCAACAGGGGGAACCCTCCCCAAAGGGAAACGCCATCGTGGAAAGGAAAGGAACCAGACAGGAGTACCTAAATGGGGAAATATTAAACGAAGAAGAAATAAATGAAAACATGAGGTTTCAACAGTGGAGTGACCGACTGCAATTTTCGGAAGAAAACTCCTTCTACTACGATGTAGGACACGAGTGCGTGAGTACAAAGAAGTATTATAAGATATATCAGGTGAATTCTAACTTTTACAAAAGGGAGTTCACGTTGACTGACAAATCTGCCATAACCTTGGTCCCATTTTTGAACAAAAAGGAGAGCGAAGAAGCGTGTCAGTCTCTGACGAAAAATTTTAGCGGAAAAATGACGTATGAAATGTTCGTGGGGGGAAAGGGGCAAGCGTCAAGTGAAGCGGCAAGCAGCTGTGACGAGAAGAGTGACGGCTCGACTTCCCAAAATAGCGTAACGCATAATAGCGCAGCGTATAATAGCGAAGCCGCTGGCGGATCCCCCTATGAAGAATCAATACTGAGCGAACAGCAAGTGGGGCAGCTGTCTGACATCAATTTCGCGCTGCGGGCGAACATGCTGTTCCCGACAGAGTCGCTGCGCACCTCCATATACATCGGGAAGGAGGCCTTTAACGACTTCCTCGAAAAGGGAATGGACTCCTGCAAGCTGGCGATGAACAAGCATTTGCATCACTACTATAGACACAACCTGAAAAGTAATTTGGACGACAAAATTTTCCTCATGTACATCCTGAGGTATATCAAAAATTACATTTTAAAAATAGTATACAAAACATTCCAAGTCAAACTATCCAACGAAATGGAGATCGAGAATGACTCCAATGTACAGCCAAGTGGAAGCAACAAAATGGTTAGTAGCGAAACTTACATAGAGCTAGCATCAGAATTTGAAGAAATCATAAATATATTAACACACTTCATAGAAAAAATGAAAGAACAATTCAAAATTAGAGAACAAGAGTTGGAAGATTATTTGTCCAAGAAAAAGGAAATTATAAATTATTCAACTCCTTATGTTTTACAAAATAATGAAGAAGCAGAAAGACATATTATGAACATTTGGAATTATTTTAATTTTAAAATTTTCAACAATGAATTGCCAAATTTTGACTCGATAAATTTCTTTTGGATAACGGACAAAGTTGAGAAACTGAAGAAAATGCCAAATATGAAAATGTACAAAATTGGGAATAAAAACTTTTTAAACTTACCCAATGTTATGTTCCACGCTGCTTTGAAAACGTCTCCTCTATTATTAAATTACACCATCTTAAAGGCTATGTATGAATACCAGAAATTATTGTGTGTGGATATTTTACCTTTCAAGGAAGTAAAGAATTATAATATGTCCAAAAAAATCGATGAAAAGAAACAGAAAATTATCAAGTTCATTCATGGCATTGGTGGCTTGCTGGAGAATATCGACTTCCATTTTTATGCTCCCTATTTGGGCGACCTCAATTTGGACAACGAGGAGGCAGCCAAGTTCTACTCCTATGTTAAGGATATCAATGGGGATGACAAGAAGATGTTCCGTCCTTTGGAATACAACAAGGAACTTTCCCTCTGCCCGGGGGCGCCCAGCATGGAGGACGCCAATGTGATCGGCAATGTCAGCGGAAACGATAACGGTAGCATCGACCGGGGAGTGGCCAACCTGGAGGACTTCCCCCTGGACGATGACGAGCCCGACCAGGACGACCTCACAATGCTGCTCCTCAAATCGAATGCCGTGAACGACATCAACCGAGCCATCCAGTTGGCCACCAACGTGTACAGGAAGAAAAACGTCGGTCACCTGTGGGGTTCCCCCGCGGATATCACGAGCCCGGAAGCAAGCGAAGCAGAAGGCAGGACCGCGCTAAGAGTCAAAGCAGACCCTGGTAAAACCAACCCAGGGGGCACTTACCAATTGAAGGAGAACAACCCAGCACTGCAGCGCTTCAGAATACCGCTGAACGAATTTGCGTCTTCCCTTTTCCTGTGCGATGTGAACAACTCCACCAAGCTTCTAACTCAAGGGATCGAAAAGCTAAAGCAACTAAACGAGTTCGACTTAACCTACGTACATAACGCCCTGACGTATGCGTGCATGCGGTTTTTACACGAAAGTGGTAACGAAAATGAAGATGTAGAGGGCCTTTTAAAAAAGTATGAAAAAAACGAAAAGGTAGAAGCGACCAACAATATTATGACACTGCAAATGATGGTGGTCCTAGGGGAACTGTTTCGAAACATCAGGAAGACGAGGACCAACCAGAAGTACTTTTTTAAAAGAATCCTACAAACAGACGTCATTACAGATATATACAAGGATGACAGTGTCTACGATGAACATATGAACATTAACAAAATGGATTATGTGATGAATAATTTAAAAATTGCTTACCCCATGAAAAATAACATTATGTTGACGCGAAAAAATAGAGAAGAGATTGCTTATTACTTTTTGAATTACTACACAAAGTACCTTTTCCGTTTTGACTTGCCAAACAATGTCGTTATAAAATTTACGGACAAAATATCTGGGCTAAGTTTTTACGATTATAATTTTGATTACGTATCGAATGATGTGATCATTTATGTGCACAACGATGTTAGTAACTCGTTCGTACTATCTAGGGTCATCCTCGACGAGTGCCTCAACGTGTATGAGAAGTACACCACCTACGTGCACAAGTATGGCGGAAACACGGACAACTCGACAGTCAAGGAGGCCAAGAGCAAGCTGAAGAAGGAAGGCAGTCCGGACGATGAGTCAACTACGCAGGGACACAACACTGAAAGGACAAATGAGCAGTCTGGAAAGAAACACACAAGCGATGACACCAAAGTGGAGGAGGAAATTCTGGAAGATGAAGACCCAGACGAGGAAGAGTTGAAGCACCTGGATGCGGAAGAGGAGAATATCGATGTAGATAAGATAAACTTAGACAACATCAAAGAGGTGGATAGCGCAGGAGAGCCGTCTAAAGAGGACCAAACAGATGACGCACCTGTGGACGACGAACATGTTGATATCTTCAACTACGTCAAAATGAATAGAATAAAACAGTTCATTCGTTTTGTGGTCGAATACAACCAGTGGCCCTTCTTCCTAGATGAGACGATCAACCTGGATTCGTACCTCAACAACGATGAGCTCGAACTGCTGAAAAACGTAAAGCATTATAACAGCCTAAATAACTTTTTCGTAAAACTGAAAGAAGCAGGTATAGGTCAAAAAAGAATCATGGAAATTATTCAAAGTGCTATTAAAAGGGAGGATTGCAAAGCGATATGGGAGGAGAAAAAAATACCCATCAAACACATCGCCTCTGCATTATTCACAAATAACTACATAAATTTATTTAAGGTTTTCCAGAGAGGCATAAAGGTGTTACTAAATATGGACTTAAGTGAAATTGACCTGATTATGAACAAATGCAAATATGCATGCGAAATTGTCTACTATAAAAGATTAGAAGAACTTAAATCGTCCAACAATAATCTCGTTTTTACAATGTACAACGAAAATGTAAGCTCGATTGAATATTACTTTGACAAACTAAAGGAGAAAATTATTTTAATCAGCTTGATCAAGAAGGAAGATATATTTGGTACTCTCATCAATTTGATATCTGGCATTTTCCCCAACAAGACTAAATCGGTGAGCGAATTTGAAAATGGTACCCAGGACAAGAAACCGAAGGAGAAAATTGACGAGCTCATTTTCCTTTACGACTCTAAGAAGAAGAAATGTGGCTCCACAACGGAGCTAAACAGATCGGCCGTCACGCAGAACCTCTTTAACTTTTTCAACAAAGAAGTATTTGAAGGCAAAATAAAGAATGTCCAAATCGAGTTTGTCAAAAATGACGAAACACTCTCCACACACTTAAATTTTGTCAACTCTTTTGAAAGTCCAAAAATATTAATTAATGAAAATGTCTATTCAGTCACCATTCTGGCCAACGTGTTGCTTAAGGAAATGGCCGAGATTTTCTACTTCTTCAATGATAATAAAATCGAGAGGGAAAATAAACTCTACTTGAAGAAGGATTTCAAGAGCGCCTATCTGCCCGTCGTTTTTAAGTATGCCAAGTGTTTCCAGGGTGGGGAGGATAATAAAGCGCCCTTCGACTTTGGCGAAGAGCACACAGGGGAGAAGAACATAGAAGGGGAACAACCAGAGAAAAATCAAAATCACCAAGTGGAGCCCCTTCCAACGCACTTAATTACCCCGGGAACAACCGCTTCCCCAATGCAGAAAGAACAACTCATAGCCGAGAAAGACAAAATGGATATAAACAACCTGATCGACCGAATCGCAAACTACAACCATGAAGAAATGTTCAAAGAAATCCTAGATTTTCGAAAAGAAAAATATAAGGACAAAGCAGAGGTGCAAAAATGTCTGGAGGAATACCTATACACGTACGACAAGTTGAATACCATTAAATACGGCACACCTGAGATGAGTGAGAAAAAAGTAAAAAATGAACAATCGGATGCCACCACTACGCAAAGTACGGACTCTTCAACGTCAACCATAGACCCCGCAATGGAATTGTATTTCGAACCAAACGACCTCAAAAGTATTTACCTTAATTATATGTATAAATACATCGAGTACATGATTAAAAAAAAGGAATTCCCCATTGCATTTAACGAAATAAACGAGGAATGGATTAATGCTTTAACGGAACTCGAAAATCAAAAAATTTTGGTGTACTCCACAAAAAATAATAGTGGACATTTGTACGACCTACTCATTAATAGCAAAGCATGTTCATCAAAGAGGGCTCTGGACATTCTGGAACATAGCTTACAAAAAAGGAACAGCGATGACGAACTCGTCGAGAGGACCCTATCTCGCAGTGAAGACAATGATGCCATAAGAAGTTTCGATGAATTCGTCCTGTGGATAAATAAAAATAAAAGAAAAAATTTTGAAAAGATAGATCACCGGGAATTGCTAAATGCTGATTCCCCTGAACATGCGAACGACGATATCAAGGACGTTATAAAAGAGTACAATGCTCTGTACGACGCAAATGCTACGAGGAACCTAGACCCCAACAGTGTTACTATTGATAATTTAAAAGATTTGGTTAAGAAGCACAACATTTCGAAGGACGAGATAGTGTCCGCCATGAGTCAGCTGGACATGCCCGAAGATTTTGACGTCGATTCGTTGTTCAAGTGAGCCGCGGTGCGGTATGTGTACGAAGAGACACACATGGGTGCACTTCCCTCTTCACGCGCAGTAGTGTTCTCTTTCCGCCCCCATGTCCCGCTGAACAATTTATTCGTATAACTACTCACACAATTATGATATATTTTTTTTTGTCAATTTTTTTTTCACCGGATTGTTTGCGCCGCCCGTTTTTTGCGTTATGGTTGAGGGCGATAACAGGAAGCTCCCCACATGGAGCCCTACATTGAGTTGTAAGCTGTGCTGCCCATGTGAGGCGTCTGAGATGATCAACACAGGCAGTGTAGCCACAACTATGTAGTGGTATTACATACCAAAGATGGTTTCCCTTTTTTTTTTTTTTTTTTTCGTTGCCGTTGTTGACCCCCCGCCTCATGGTCAAAGACACTACTCTGCGTGTAGTTTCTCGATAAATCATTTTTGCCACATTTCGCTACATTTCCCTTTCTCTTTCTTTTAATTGCATTTGTTGTGTTGTTTATTGACTCTGCTATGGCAAAGTGGACACTCAATTAACCACATGACTTCCATTGTTCAATCGTTTTGTTAATTTTTTCCCCTCCCCGCTCTGTAGTTAAGTCTTAGAAGCGTGATTATTTGTATGACCGTTCTTCGCACATTGAAAAGTTGATCCTCCCAATAGCGATATTCTTCTTCTTTTCCTTTTGTGGGTAGCACACCAGCGAGAATTGCTCCTCCGTAAGTGATGGCATGCCCCAAATGGGTTTACAAAATTGGTCCAACATGTAGCATCTTCTTCCCTTTAATAAGCGCACGGCAAGGCAGCCACTCGGGGAATATGGACAAAAAAAAGAATCCCATTTTATCCCCTCATATTTATAATACGAACACGGGGACATAACCATAAAGTGTAGGTCTCCAACAATTATCATTTTGGTCACACTTAACACAATACCTACAACGTTATGCGAATGCTGAAGGCAAGTTTCCCTTCAATCCGATATGGCAGAAAAAAAGGCAGATCATTTCTGTATACATTTTTGTTTACTTGCCCTGTTGGCTAGCTCGAATTGGCGTATACCGTGTGGGATGTGAAGGTTTGCCCATTATGAGTTATAATTGTCAAAGGAAAGCAGTGTTAACATGGCAACATTTGGAGTCCCGCTCAATCTATGCCTTCCTCCTATACCTGTTCATGTAGGGGCAAAAATGTTGAGCAGTAAGCATTCATGTGATGAAGCACATCAGGAGTGCGCACGGCGTGCCGCAATTTTGTGATCAATGTTTTTCGCACCATCTGTTCGCTCCATTTTTGCCTTATTTTTATGCCATGTTTCTGCTATTTTTTTGTCAATTTTTTTCCATTTCCTATGCCATTTTTGTGCCGTTTTTGCGTCCCCTTCAAGCCACCTTCAACTGCAAAAAGTGGATAACTTTTTCCCACCCCTGTAAGTTCCCCATACAGGGGGAGTTTCCCGCAGCGTCAGCGTAGAGCCCTCGCGCGCAAGCGTAAACGTGGAAGTTTTAACTAGTAATCACCACGCGGAAGCCTAACTCGAAGTTACAACGTGCAGGCCTAAATATAGTAGCCGCTGCGTACAATTCTACCTCGTAGTTACAACGCGCCAGTACTATTGAGTCAATCGGAAATGCGCTTACCGCGTAGGCGTGTGATCCCTGATGCATATTTGTGCGTACCCATAAGGGACATGCCAAGAGACCACGCAACGCAGCAAGTACACTAACGCGCGCAAAGTCGACTTGTGTAGGGCGGTAGATCTGCGCATGAAAACGCAGGTGATGGGCCAAATGGAAAAAGCAGAAAAAGGAAGGAGGCCTTCTTCCCGTCCGAGTGACACTACTCATCAGCACAACCGAGGAGCAAGGCACTCTGTCCCGACGCATGACAAGCTTTAAATATGTGCAATGACGATCGATAAGCATGTGCCCACCACGCGTGACGCATCAAGCACCAGCCATCCTGCGTGACAAGTGAGAAGCAGCCCCCCTCCCCCAGCCCGCCTTATATCCGGAGTAACTACACAAAAAAAAAAAACACAGAATGGGGAGTGAACAACTCAACTTAAAAATGTTGATGAAGAAGTTCCTGATGGAGGAGAAGGAGTACATCAAACTGATAAATAAAGATCAAAAGGATATCATACTTTTCGAAAAGGAAAACTTTTATATACATGCAAATGTCCTCTGTGGAATTGAAAGCAGGAAAAAGGAAAAGTACAATGTAGGAGATATATACTTATTCCTGTGTCTACCCAAGAGTAACTACACCTTTTCATACATAAATTCTGTTGGGTATAAATATATAAGCATTCTTGAAAAAAGCAAAATTATTAAAATTATCGAAGACAATGAAGATAATGACGAAATTAAAGTAAATATTTTTGTGTATGATTTGAAGAAGATTTTGGATTTGCGCGACTATGTAGATGTAGAAGATAAGGACCAGGGCATACAGGTGGACCTCTTTCATTTGGACATCGTGGGGGATGTGGACAGGCATAGTGAAAAGGACCATGAAAAGGGCTATGTAAAGGGAAGTAGTGCACAAGGTGCTTCAATCGGGGAGAAACAGAACGATGGAAAGGGTGAAACATTTATCCCTGGCCACCGGACGAGGAAGCGAGAAGGGGGGGAATTGCAAGAAGGGGAAGGTGCCCAAACTGGGGTTCATACAATGCCCTCATATCACGAAAAAGGCGGCAGTGATCTCGACAAAGGCACCACCAACCAGGTTGCAAAGGAAAATTTCGTGTCCTTTGATAGCGTAAGAACAGTATGTGACACCCAAAAAATGGACAACTCGCTAATCCTGTATGTGACAAAGGGGATCCCGGAAAGTAGACATATCCTCAGCGAAATACATCCGTGCGAGAGAATGGGGGATTATAACTTCCTGCAGAGGGATATCCCCATCCAAGTGTACGACCCGTTAATCTATTTCAATTGTAATGAAGTTAACGCCCTGGAGGAATTTGCAAACGATTCGAGCAGCAATTATGACTTCTTCAGAGTGGAGGTTACCGACCCAGATAATGCGAAATACCATGTGGGAGGGAATTCCCCTATCGAAAATGCCCAAACTGGGGAAGAAGTTGCAATAAAGGAAGACATACAAGTGGGTAAACTCCCTGATGGGAAGAATAAAATAAACAATAATCAAAGTTGTGAAAAGGATGAGGAAAATAAAAGTAACGACTATGAAGGCACCCCTGAAAGCAGCCTGCAAAACATGATGAAACATTACTTCGGAAAAGACAATTTTTTTAAACACGTTTTTCTCCAAAATTTGAATTTATATTCTGTTTTAAAAAATACTTATTTTGCAAACACACAACATGAAGCGCAAATTGATCAGTGCGTAAAATTAATTGTCCAAAAGTTCCACAGGGATTACATAAAATTTATGGAGAATGACCAACATATGGCTTTGTCCAATTGTAACGATTTTTTGAGAAGGTACTCCAAGCATAACTATACAGATATTTATCAGAAGGGAGATTTGTACAAAAATTTTGCAGACTATGACATGCTGGACCTCGATTTGAGTATTAATGATTACAATGAACAGGGAAAACATTCGACCAATCAGGTTCACCACCAATCCAATGTGCATTGCCAAAATGGTTATTCAGTGGATGTGAAGGATGAGAAATTTTTGGTTGGCCAATTTATCCCCCTAGAAATTGTTCAAAATTTCAATGATCACGATAAGATAATTTTCTTTCACGATTTGCTGGCTCAGTATGTGAAAGCTGTAGGTGACAAACAATGCTACAATGCAAATAGGGCACTGATCAACTTTGTGCATAATTTTATTAATGACTTTTCCCTTAAGGAGAATCTTTATTGGGGGATGAATGCCGAGCCAGGTTCCCCGCTACTCCCAGAGGAATTATTCTTATCTGATCCGGAAGGCTTCCCTTTATATTTGGTACAGGAGGAGGCGGTCACGACAGGTGGAGATGCCATTCCAATGCACGGAAAAGACGACCAGAAAAAAAAATTCCTGTTCACAGAAAACAACTGCGCAGTAGTAAGAAGCAAGCTTGATAGGAAAAACATCTCGAAGATAAAATTATCAGATGAGCAGGTAACAGCGAATGAAGAAATGACAACGTCGGTACTCCTTAAAGAAGTTAACATGCAAGACGCGTATGATCAGATAGGAAAAAACGCCAGTGACTTCAGTCGCATATATAATATGTTCGAACGAGAGCTTTTAAGTAAAAGTAATATAAAAAATGTATACATAAATGGAATCAAGAAAAATATTATCATCGATGATGGTCATATGAAAACGAGGGTGGAAAAAAAATCGTTAAAACTTATCGACGAAATACACTTAACGTATAAGAAGAGACCCATTATATTGATAGAAAAAGAGAGCAGCAACCACATAATTAACAGGAACAATGTGGAATCCTTTTTTTTGCATAACTGCTTGGACAACTCTGGCTCCAATCGGAAAGGGACTCATGTCACAGGTGATGGGGATGACGGCGCAAAGCGGCCTTACAATTCCATACCCATCATTTACAAAATGTTTAACAAAAAAAAAAGCATAAAATTTTCCTTCATCGAAAATGATCAAATTTCTAAATTGACCGAAACGGACTGGAAGTGTGTCATTGCAGTTATCATAAAATCTAAGGAGTCGCTAAAAAACATTTTAAATGAATACCCATTCGAAATTCCTACTGCGCTCTTCCAGCCATTCAAATCATTTTTTTTTATGTACAATGATGTTATAATACCGTCCGATTTGTTGACAGGTGGCAATGTCGATATCATCAGACTCAGTCGGGACAAGAGGAAGGAGGATTACCTCGCCGTTAATAAATTTTGGACCAACATTGAAAAATTCATTTTGCAAAGACGGGACAAGTCTTGCTACACGCGGAAAAGGAAGTTATAGCCCCGCGTGGCACTTGCCCTGTAAACGTGTATACATATGTATACCCCATGTGTGTACCTATTGTGTTACTATAGCTACACACCACCCGTGAGGGGGGCGATGGCTATTCTCCCTCCGTGCCTCTACGCACTCGTCACTGCTGGCACATCGGTCGCCGTTTTTTTTTTTTTTCATTCCGTCCGTCGAAACTTTGCTTTGTTTATTTTTGCCATTGGCCTTTTATTTTTTCTTTATTGCACTTTTTTTTTTTTTTTTTTTTTTCTTTGCTCAATAGAGCATATAACCTTGGTGACCTTTTTTTAAATACCAAATGGGTGAAGCTACATTTTTTGAATGTATTATTATGCGTGCGACAGTTGACGTATAATAATATACATGTGAATAATTACCTGAAACGGAGAAAAAAAAAAAAGAAAGAAAAGTATGCACTTGCTGCACATGCTAACGTATGAATTTTCCATTCGAAAAGCTATCGAATGCGATTTTTTTTTTTTTTTTTTTTTTTTGTTTATATTTCTCTCCCCGAATAAATACACAGATGTTTACATCACCAAAAGGATAATCCGAACCATGATATGCTAACTAACATTAACCTCAAATTAATTCCACCTTTATATATTCTCGTTTTTATGCGATGACTAACTACACGTTTTCTTTCCAGCCTACGAGAGCGTACGTGCAATCGTGCACATCGCTCCATGTGTAACTCAAGCTAAGATCCGTATTTTGCCGTATCACATTTTGATACCGTTTTGTCCGCCCATATATGTCAGTGTAAAGCCATATTTCCCAAGGTACTGTTTCCCTAGGGCCGATGTAGCGCAATTCATAGCAGCCACATATAGAAATACGCTTGTACGTTTTATACATATATGTATGAACTCGCGACACGATATTGTAGAGGGACAATGCCACATAGAAAGATAAATGAAACTCGCCCCACATGTCCCAATTTTATAATGTAGTACATATTCTTGAATTTCATGTCAACACCAAGCCTATTTTGCACAGATTCTACATCCGTGTGTGACGTCCTTCGAAACAACCTTCTTTTTAAATCTGCAAGTATAGCAAAATGAGGTAATGAGAAAAAAGGATAGAAGTGCGCGTATAATTTTTGCACAAATCCATATGCAGTAGATCCCTCCCTTGAAAGGGTCTTCTGCTACTGTAGATGAATCATGTTGGGAAAAGAACCCAACAAAAGAGGGAAAACGGATACAGCACCTTATAGCGCGCAAATTAATTGTAAAGCCTGGAAATGAAAGAGAATTTTTTTTCTTCTTTTCCTTCTTCCGAATGACACCCTACACACACACAGAACCAACATTATAAAAGCCTATGGCATTCTGTTATGTAGAGTCTTGTACGGTGGAACAAAAACCCTTTTAGGTGATAATTCAAAAATTGAGTTTTTATTTTTAAAGGCATCTTATGGAAACAAACATTGGACTCCGCCAAAAGGTACCCTTCGCAGGGTTTTCTCGACATAGTAGAGGGACACACACCTTTACGCCTTTGCGACCCCTGCTACTATACCTCTGGGAAATACTTATACCCCATATGGCCCGCGTAATGACCCTGGTCCATATCACATGTCTCCTTCCCAAATACGCAGGACTCCACGAAAGTAACGAGGATGGGTTAGAAACTGCCCTGAGAGAAACGCTGGAGGAAACTGGACTGGATAAGGACAAGTACAAGTTACTAGATTATCAAAAGGTGTGTTACACACGTTGGTTAGGGAACACTATGACCACGTTGTCGCGTGCATAGTGCAGTTGTCCCACTTGGTCCTTTTTTGCTTCCCTTGTTTAGACTTTAACATATACGGTTAATGATAATTTAAAGGAGACTACCTATTATCTGGCGCTTCTGCTGAACAACGAGGAACGAATCACTTTATCAGATGAACACACGGATTATAAGTAAGGCGCCCAGAAATCGAGGGGATGGTGGCGGAGCCAAGGTGGTTAATTGAATGGGCTTCCTAGCGCGTCTATAGGATCGCCATTCCATTGCTTTTTTTTTTTTTTTTTTTTTTTGTCCACTTCTCTGGTCAACAGGTGGATCCACAGCAATGAGTCGGTCAAGTATTCCCTCCCCGAGTCTCTAACCAATTTGCTCATAAACGCAGAGAACTTTTTGAAGAACAACGGAGACATGATTATATCGTCGTAATTTTGGAAGTCACGTCACGTGTGACTGCATAGGTGTTGCATGCTCCGACTGGGTTTGATTTTTTTATAGGAACATGGGTAACACTCAAAGGTGCCCATAACCCCGCGCTGTATTTAGCCAACTGAGCACAATTTGGACGTGACCTCGCCTGTGGACTGAGAATTTTGCTTGCATATTATAGCAGTGCGATGCTCTCTTGTGGATAGTAAAAAAAAAAAACATAATATGCTAGTAGGCAAAATAAATTTGCTTCAGTAGGCTACTCGCTAAATTGGCACATTTTGTTTGCGCACAATGTATCTAAGGTGCATGTGTGTACCATTTTGACAACGAAGCGGTTGTTTTAATTTTTCACACTTGTTTAAAGAATGGCAAAACTTGGGGAAGTGCTGGGTTACATTTTTTTTTTTTTTTTCACGCTTCATGCATTTTACAGTGAGCGTAGAAATCCTTGTAGGCGTGTTCGACGGAACTTTATATCATTTGCCCGTCTCTATTTGTCACTTCGTCGTTTGCCACTTGGCTATTTATCGTGTCCCCTTTTGTCACTTCCCGTTGATCTCTGCCCCTCGCCCATGCGTCCCCATTTGGTGAAAAAACAACCGAACAAACATGTGGTAAAAACTGTCCCATAGTTTCTTTAAAATGAATAACTGTGCAATGCTGATTGCGATTTCAAAGAATGACACTTCCTGGCCATCGATCAGGATTTAGCCACAACGAGTTGCACAAAAAGATAATGCTCCATGCGAATCACAAAGAAATATTGTTCCATTTTGCAGTGGAAATTTTTTTTTGTTTTTTTTTTTCCATCATACAATCCGCCGTGCTTTATCACATTTATATGAGGATGCAGACCCTACTAGGAAATGTGTGCCTCCGTCGGCATTGTGCAACCCCCACCTGGTATGAAATTTTCTTCCTTTTTAAATAACAGCACATTTGTAGGCACTACACGAATTTATTCGCTTCACCATGTACAAACATATATACACAAGAAGCAATTTCTTTCCTTTTATTTTATTTTTTTTTTTCCAGCTGGATAGCTAGCTACAAAAGTGTAAGATCTATTAGACTAAACCAGTTCATTACCAAATAGCCATAAAGTGGTCACTGTCGCTTCGTTATTTTTTTTTTTTTTATCCGAACATATTGCTACCTTATTATGGAAGGTGTAAGCAACATTTTAAGCATAGCGGGGAGTGACAGTTGTGGTGGAGCGGGCATGCAGGCAGATATAAAAACTGCAATGGGGTTAGGATGCCACTGTTGTACCGCATTCGTCGTTTTAACAGCCCAGAACACCAAGGAGGTTAAAAGAATTGTAAAAATTGAGGAAAGCTTCATTGTAGAGCAGTTGGATAGTATTTTTGCAGATGTGACTATCGACGTGGTTAAGCTAGGAGTTTTATATTCAAAGAAAATTATTTCATTGGTTCGTGAATACATAATAGATATGAACAAAAAGAGAGGCAAAAAACTGCTAGTAGTTTTCGACCCGGTGTTTGTATCAAGTTCTGGGTGCCTCCTAGTGGAAAATCTGGAATACATAAAATGTGCTCTTGATTTAATATGTCCCATAAGCTGTATCATTACGCCTAACTTTTACGAGTGTAAGGTCATTCTCGAGGCACTAAACTGCCAAATCGATTTATCCAAGGTGAATATAACTGAACTGTGCAAACTGATGACGGACAAGCTGGACATAAGTGCCTGTTTGTTTAAGAGTTGCAACGTGGGTGAAAATTGCGCAGAGGAGAATGAGGTGTACGCAGTCGACCATTTGTGTATCAGGAGGGTTGGATATACACCTGAAGGGGAAGTACTACAGAGGGATGCGGGAGAGCTGGGACTATCCCAACCAGGGGGAGTAACCTACTTATATGACGTGTACAAACTAAGGTCTAAGAGGAAGCCAGGCCTAGACATACACGGAACGGGCTGTACCTTATCCACAGCCATAGCGTGCTACTTGGCAAAAAAGCATAACATTTTGCAATCGTGCATAGAGGCGAAAAAGTATATTTACAACTGCATCAGATATGCCTACCAGTTTGGAAGTAAAAGTCCGGGGTTGAACCATTTGAAGGCATCTCAAGAGTTGCCAACTTTTACGGACCTCGACGTTATACCCATTGTTCAAGATTCCCCTTAGTGCGGTTGCTCTGGTGGAGTCCGGAGCATAATTTTTTATGTAGCGTCTATTATACCTCTTTTTTTTTGTTGTTTGTTTCGGAACATGGACAGATTTTCCGTTTTTGCTAACCATGCAAATGTGTATATATGTGTGTACATATATCTGCACAAATAGGTGCACATGTACCATTTGTGTTTTCTTTTTTTCGTCCCACTTCTCACGGCATAATTTCCCCACGTGCAATATTTTGTACACACTGTAGTCCCCCTTATGGGCCTTTTTACTTTTTTTTTTTTTTCCCTCTCCATTCGTGGCACAAGAATTGTATTTATGTAACCTTTGTGCAGGGTGAGCTGAACTCTTGCCCGCCCAAAATAGGGGGGCATTTCACTTCCCATTAAAGTTTCATCGTGGATGCGGTCCTGCGTGGTATGATATTTTGTCAAGGAGGATGGTTAGATATCCGCTTAAACGTTGTGCACACCGTTCTGTTTGTTCCCCCTCGTGTGTGCATATAAATCCCACTTTGTCATGTCGCACCACGCCCATCACTTTTGTTCTTATAAAAAAGGCTGGAACAAAAGTAGCCAACGGATACACTTAACCCCACATATGCCGCTTTACACGGCGGGAAAAAAGCAGCCTCATTAAACAAATACACATATGGCAAATGGAACTCGGCGAAGTCTTCAAAATGACAATGTTGCCTAAGCAACATGCTTAGCCACATCAAAGTAAAAAGATTTTACAAGCGTACAAAAGGGAAAGAGGTACAAAAAAAAAAAAAAAATTCCTAGCGGGACTTAGCCTTTCATTTTTCAGCTGAAATAAAATCTGAGCAGTAGGCTCAAACCAAACGCAAAAAAATAAAAGCCCAAAAGTGACGGTATTGAAAAGTTGGAAAACCAGCAAGTTGCTAAAAGGAGCGAACATTTCTTAATAGCTGCCCTAACCCAATTTTTCACTTCTGTAAACACAGGCAAGCATTATCCGCGTAGGGCTTCTTACCATTGGATCACATTGGGAAAAGTTGTCCCCCCGAGAGTTGTGAGCAGTTTGTGTAGTTATCCACGCAGCTGCTTTTCCCAGTATAATTACCTACGCATAGTTACCCCCACCCTGGAACTGCGTAGAGAAAAATACACAATGCAAGGGATTTATCTAAAGAAGCGACTGCACACCAATGTGCAGGGAAAGCTGTACAGCAGCCTCACCCCTGGGCTTTTGAAAGGAGGAAAAAGGGAACTTCCCCATGCCACACAGAGAGCCCATGTAAGCAGTACAGACTTATCAAAACTGACCCAAAAGAACACATACAACACATACAAAAATAGGGTTTTCAATCCAGGGATGTACAATAATATTCCCCCAAATTATATGAACATGCAAATGAACACTAATGAAAATAACGTCAGTGCCACGCCAAGCGGTGTGAATTATAATTACGAAAATCAGCCAAACAGATATTACTCCTTGAAGTACAACTATGGTGTAAATGCCGAAGGTGTGGACAACAACCCTGCTGCAGCCGCCGCTTCCGCTGCGGCCGCTACCGCCAACACGACGTACCAATACTTTAGCATTTTTGGCAACACAGCCATGTGCCTAATAAAACCAATATATCCGGACTACATCGTTAATAAAAACAAAGTGACAATCTTTGGAAAGGGGGGGTTTCAATTTGTCTTCATGAAAAAACACAGCAATTCGAATAAGTACGACAAAAATAATAAAATGAGCATAATCCTCAAAATCAATAGTTTGGCCCATTTGCTCTCTGTGACGGACGCAGAGCAGATAAAGACGCCCATATGTGTCAAGGGCAGCAACAGCAACTGCCTAATTATCGATAAGCACAAGGAGAAGAAGGACCACATAGTTATACGATACAAATATCAGCCGTCTGCCAATGCGGATGGTAACTTGGGCGAAATGAATAACCTCGACATGGAAATTAACCAAAGTCCTCAGATAAACAATTTGAATGACGACAAAAAAAACAATTTTGAGGAACTTCATGTCAGCTCTCCTTTTTCTGAATTTTTGCTTTTCCAGAAGGCAGCAAATTTGTTGCTTCCGCAGTTGCTTGGCTGGGCCAGGCACCAGTGAGTGTGTGTATATGTATGTCGGTAGTGGTGGGTAGTAACTTTGAAAAGGGAAATCGGACCCACTGGGAACATATCACCGTGCACACTTCATTCTTACAAATGGAACACACACATTAACGAAACTCGTGTAGTGCTGTTTCTGCAGGGCGCGTTGTGCGCAAGAGGAATATGATGATAGAAACCACACTTTTTGCTCGCGTGCCAAAAGGTGAAATGCAAGGTGACTCTTTGTTCTTGCCTTTTAACTGTCCTTCATTTTTTATGTTGCAAAGTTTGCGCGAATGCACACGTGTTTTCATATGTTTACATTTCTGTGTAAACTTTTTTACATGTGTAAGATTACCTGTTTGTGCATTCCGTATCTCATAATGGCGGCCGACGTAAAAGGTTGCTTTTGTTAAACCAATTTAACTATGACGCTGTTTTTAAAAGTTATTGTAAATAAAAAAAAAAAAAAATGTGCAAAGGGAAAGACAAAAAAAAAAAAAAGAAAAATGATATACGTGGGGACAAAGGGGGGCATACAAAACTACTTTGCGGTCCTAAATGACAACTGACCCCTGGTTGCTACAAATGTTGGGCCATCTTGTGGATTGTGTTCCTTGCGGTTGTCGTTTTGAGAAAGTGGGTGAGGAGCGACATTGCCTTTCATGTATCTCCTTGCACCGCTCCATCACTTTCTCTCCTTCTCCTTTTCCGAAGTCATCTTGGCTTCCTTCCTGCACATGTGGTGTAACTTGTCCACGTCGATTTCTTTGGACGGAAGGAAAACATACCTCACGACGGAGCCCCGCACAAAGCAGGACTTGATCGATAGCTGAAGCGAAGGGAGGGGAAGCGATGCAGCAATGAGGTGCTGAAGTGACCAAGCAGTGTAGTGAGTACCGCACAAAAAAAGGTGCACCCTTAGGACACCCACTCGCTGCCTCATGTGGCAATTGCATTAGGCAGACGAAACGTCTCCCCAGTGTTACTCACCAAGTGAGGATACTTCTCCGGGTGGTTCACAGTTACATTAGTCAATTTGATATTCAGATATTGGTCTACCGAATGCAATACTCCAGAAATTTGCAAGTCATTTTTGAGTTCGACCGTTACGTGGTGGTTTTTCTCTGCCAGTTGTTGAAAAAAGGTAAAAAAAAGCTGCGAATCAGGGGAGGGACAGGCGAAAATATGTACTCACATATCTACAGGTATGCATTGCTACGTGGCGCATCGGGTGTGTAGCCACCATTTCGCGCCGCCCCCCAAAGCAGGCTCATTTTCACAGTAGCGGGGGTGCGCAGCATGTACGTGTTATCAAGGCATCGCGCAGCAATATCTGGCGCAGTGTTATCCCATTTTTTGCACTTTACCATTTTTTACTTCTTTCACGAGTACGACAAAAAGGATCGAACCTACTTTACTTGACAACTGCGCAAGAGGGCAGCCAATTACAGAAATAAATTAACCTAAGGGAGTAGAATTTAGCTGTGTCGATTTTGTTACCTCCTATCAGAGTGTATGGCTCTTAAATGGTTAGCTAGCTGTTTTAAATTTTGTTGTTATCGCATGGGTGCTATCTTAGCATAGCTCCTCTGCATGACTGGCGAATGCTAAATGGAGAGGAAACAAAATAAATTTTAAGTGAAACTTCAGTTGTAAGTTTTGTCGGAAGTTTCATGGAAGCTGAAATTCAACTCACACTGTGCATATGAAATACGTGCCTCCATAGCGACCCTTGTTAGAGGGGCTTTTATAAAAAAATAAAAAAAATTCAGCGTCACATTTCGCAGCCCCAAAATGAAACACTGCAAGGTTATATTCTGCACAAAGAAATGTTGCAAAGTGAACCGACGGCATGGCATATGCTTGGATGGAGCGCGAAATAGAGAGTTTAAAAAAAAAAAAACGTTTGCTTACACGAATGCGTGAACCGTGTGAGCAGAACAAAAGGTTGAGCAAACGCAGCGGCTACGAATTGGCGGCCCACAAGCGCTACCTATAACCGCTACCTATCAGCCGGTATCCCCACCATATACAGAACTGCGAATGCAACACCCCAGTGGTGCTCTGCGAATTTGTTCTCGCAGGCACGCCCAAATAAGTTCAATCCATGAAGCCTATGTATATGGAACGGCGTATCACGAAGGCTGCTCCATCATTCATTTAATCGGTTCTTCCATTTTTTTTTAAGTGGGCAATTCCTCTTTTGCAGAAATGTGCATATAAAAATGCTAAGCGGTTGAAGAGGCGTGGCAGATTTTTTCCGCGTCTCGTATGTCTACGAACAACTTCCGCCCATTTTGTCCCAGCCGTGTTAAGTTCCCCTTCCTACATGTGTACTTTCATTACAACATTCCTGTCATTACCCATATGGAAAAAAAGTGCGCTTGATTTGGCACAGAAATAATTGTTGAAATGAGTACATACATGTATGCATAGTGGTGTATCTATATATATGGGTGCCCATTTCGATCGAAGTGAGGTTATCATTTGTGCTGGTTTTGACAGGGAGGTTGTTTATACGCTCACACATATACACACACGGTCTTGTACATACATCTAAGCACACCATGCACTCTCGCTGCGCCTGTGCGCTACCCGCGATAGCAAGTAGTTTGCCTCGAAGGAGACAGTCTCTCCGTGTGACTCCGCCGTGGGGGTGTTTATATAAATGCATAACACACGCAAAATATAGTCCACTGGCGAAACGGTTATCTCAACGCGTAGCTTCGTCTCCCATTAATCAAGCAATCAAAGTTAAGAAGACACCACACCAAAAAAGGGGAAAACTAAAACAGCACAGATGAGTTTAACATAGCTGTAACGTCGAGACGAATTTATCGCTTCCCCTCCTTCCACCTTGAGAACCACAAAATGCAGGACGACAGAGAAGTCGACAAGGAGAGTGAACAGGGGAACAAGAATGAAAAGGAAAGAGAAAAATTTAGCGATATCGATTTGAAGGTGGAGGCGTATGCAGAAGGGGACTACAGATTACTCAGATATCTACCAGATGGATCTTGCGTTTTCGAACAAATACCAGATGAAGAAAATAAAAATATGAAAAATCTACAACAGTATGCACAAATGTTCTGTTCTGCAATGGAAAAAACGATCCAGATTAAAAGTAATAACGAAAATTTGAAAAATGATAAAGAGTGGACACAAGGAGAGGAGTACAGAGTGATGGTCGAGGAGGATTTAAAAGAATTGATGGTTTTGTTTGATCTAATGTTAGGTACACTGAATTATGATAAGGGTACAAAGTATTTAACCTTAAATAAGTGTAACTATGTGAGGGATATAAAGGCTAACAAGCAGGACATATGCATCGCCGTTACAACCAGGAAAGAACTGCTACAGGGGTTGCGAAAATTGTGTGAAGAAACAAGAAAGCAGATTAACTCCATAAACGGCATTGTTGCACAGAAATATTTTTTACATTTCATCAACCAACTCATTCAATACTGGAAAGTATTAAATAAAAAATATTCCGAAATAGATTATTTACAACTTGATAATAATTTCCCCTATGTTACGGAGGTTTCTGTTGAGTATTTTTTTTTGCCTTCTTGTTTTTGGAACTTTTCTTCCAACCCTATATTTCTTTCCTGGCCACCCTACCCCTCCTTTTCTCCTTTCAAATCACAGTATGCACATATCACTTTTTCGTTAGGTGGGTTGGAAAAGGACATAAAGGAGGGAATACATAACCAGACTATACGTTGCGCTATTGATGACTTTCTATTTAAATATAAACCCACCAAAAGACAGGGAAGAACACACCAAATGGTTCCTCCTCTTAGTAAAAAATACAAAATTAATGACCCAACAGAGGGTCTACAATATAGAAACAGTAGCTACATACCTAATGGAGGTATACTGTATGCGGATCACACACTCATTCATGATGCAAATAAAACAAATGAACAGAGTCCCACTTCTTACTATCCAAATGTGAAGGAGGAAGAAATAATAATATTTAACATGCTCGACAAGATGAGCGTCATTTCAGTCGAGTTCGAAGGAATAGCTGCGCACTTGATCGAAAATAAATACGCCATCCAATTTGACTTGTATCCATTAAACATACAGCTGAAGAATAAATTAAACACACACACAAAGGAAAATCCCGCATGGGGAGGAAACACTTTTCCAGAAAGAATAATTCCAGAAAATATATTTTTTGAACAAGCCAAAAAGATACACGAGAAATTGACAACTGCCCAGTGGGTACTTATAGATAAATCTATTTTCTATATCCTCGCCGAACAAGCAAATAATTTGAAAGACAGAAATAATAACCTAACCCTCAACCTTTCCAGCATGACGGGGAACAGGAACAAAATTAAAATTCACTGCACAGAAATAAACCACAAGTGTCTAGAGTTCCTCATAAGCGACGTTCTGATTCCCTCTATTGGGAATAAATCCATTCCTGTAGATTTTTGCTTCGCCGTGATGTATGAGCCAACTGAGGGGGTTCACAGCAAAGTGTCGGACAGAAGTGCTAACGGGGATGTCAACAGGGGTGCAAACGGGGACGCTGGTGACGGTGCTCATGGGTATCATTTCCCTCGCTGCGCCCAAGTTAATGGTGGCGGACAGAACGGCGAAATCGCGTTGGACTACGAACTCGTGCAGTTATTTCTCCACTTATCCCTCGCGAAGATAAGGGATTTGTTTATTTGCTCATGGAAGTACTTCTCCTTCGAAATGCCTTACTACTCTGCAGACATGCATCCACTCATTTACCAAAATGTTTTCCCCGACCCGCGCTCCGAGAGCTTAATCAGCAGTTTCTTCTCATGGTTTATTGCGTCCATGGAGAAGTATTTGCGCACGAGTGAGAGCACGCCGGTTGGGTCAAGCAGCTGGTATTTTGGCAGCGGCTGATTGACTAAGCTGTTCCTGTCGGACAAACTTGCGTCATCCAAGTTTTCAAAATTACAAGTTTTTTTTTTTTTTTTTAAAAACATGTTTTACTTTAATTAAAGCCACAATTCATTCTTGTGCTTGCGCCATTTTTTTTTGCGAATGTACACTTGCACACACCGCAAACACTTTTGTTTTAATTACGTATAAAAAAAAAGTACAACGGTAGGAATGCAGACTTATATGTGCATGTAGGTGTACAAGTGGGCCTACAAGCGCTAACCTTTCAGAGGGGGGGGCACACAAACACAAAAACACACACACATAAACACATCGGGTGGGAAAATTAATTAACAGGTACTATAGGGGTGAAAAACAATTTTAAAACAAAAATTTTGAAGAAAAAGTACCTGGGCGGCAGAAAATATGCGCAGCTGCATTGTGCACAACATGTCCTGTGTCCCCCAGGAGAGGAGGCGTGGGGCAAATATAACAGGTGTGTACATATTTAGAAACACATTCAACGCGTTTAAAAAAAAAGGCAAATATGGGAAACGGACAGGGGCTTAAAAAATTAAAGGTGTATTCTTTTGCCATTTCAATCAATTGTCTACTAATATATGTATATATTTTTGTTCTATGTTTTTCACATTCGGCAGAACTGCAATAGGCTCATCAGCAAACGTGCCTTTGTGCAATTTGAGAAGCTTCACTCTGTTTAATGCACACCATCCAGGAAAGGGGCTATCTGTGCTGTTCTTACGAATAAGATAGGCAATCACTTTTGTCCCTGCGCTAGCATCCTACCTTCCCTTCATTAGCGTGATGGTATCGTTTCGCTATCCGTTTGGAGGCTCCCCCGTGCTTTTTCATCACCTAGTATTTCCTTCCAACATGGTAACTGGGGAAGGGGGTCCATTCCAGCGTAATCAAAATTGAGTAATGCAAAGTGCGCGGTACAAGCGGGCGCCACAAATTGAAAAGGTGAAAAAATTTAAAAAGGAAAACATAACTGTTACAATGCACAGGGGAAAAAAGAGAAAAGTGCCAACTAGACATCTTGAAATAACTTCCCATCTGTTAGGTTCTCCTTTACATAATATTTTCCCAACGAAAAAAAAAAAAAAAAAGGGAACACCACATCTCACTGTGCTAGTCCGTAAGAGGTTAATAAAAAGGGGTTTGTTATCTCCTATTACATTATCCACAATTCTTTACCCCCCTTCTGTTCCTTCTTGTAATGTCGGAACATGCTGTCCCCTCACTTGTGCTGCCCATATGCCCCTTCGAAAAGGTAAAAGGGTAGCCCATCTCAGCTGCACACAAATCAACACAACGCATGGGTTCGTACAAAAAAATTCACAGGTATCTCCGCTGATGTCATAGGGCTTCCATTTTACCAAACAGAAAACTACAGCCCAGGTCTTCCCAACTCAGTATAATTTTAAAATAAGGGCGGTTATGTTGTCCTGCAAAAAGGAGAAAAATGAAAATGTACCCATTTCAGAGACCTAGGTCATACACATTAATTAAACACATGCAATGCCAACCGTGCTATGATTCACCCACATGCAGTGTCAAACATTGGCTTATTCAAAGTACCTGGCTTCCGCAGGCATACGCAGTTTTTATGATTTCACTGCAGGCCTTGTCCGGGTCGTGCTGGTAGGTTTGCAAAATCTGGGCCACGTCCTGCAAAGGTATGAATAAAAAGAGCGGGGGACATGTGTGCAGTAATATTTGTAAGTATACGTTGATCTAGTCTGAATGAACCCTTTCATAAAATTATTGTAAAAACGCGTAGGGGGATAGTAGAGACTGGACAATCCATTTAGACGTACCTTATTGGACAGGGTGTCCCACACTCCATCACAAGCTAGAACAACAAACAGATAATTCATCTCGTCCGCGGAGAAATAAAATGGTTCACCTTCTTTGAAATAATCTTCTTTCACCTTAGCGTTTATCGTCAAGTCGGAACATTCAACACTTGCCTTTTCCGAGTCCTCATAATATGTATCTGCGGGACACAGCTCTCTGCAGGTAACATCCGGCAGGGCTGACACTACATTGTTTTCTTTGAAGTCTTTGTCTCCTATGGCTCTGGAAACTGCAGTTACGTCACAGCGGGGAAGTGCAAATGTGAAGGGGAGAAGGGAACATGGTGAAAACGGGAAGAAATACATACATATATATATATATATATATATATATATATATATATATATATATATAAATTTAAAACCGACATGCACAATTTTCTGTGTCACATTTTTCTTCCGAGTTCATTTCATCCGTAGTACCTGCAAGGTAAACTTCCTCCTTCATTGGCAAGCGCTCCAGCAAATTGGAATGGTCCGAAGTGGTCTACACGAAAGTGTGCATGCGCATGTGCATTGTATGATACTCAAATAGGCAAGTACATTCGCGCGTCCGGCTTTCTCGACATGCGTTTCCTATACGCACATCACTACATAGACGAGGCTTATTGCGTTTCATATTTGCGGTTACCTTCTTCGCGTTAGCCTTAACCCTGAACACGTTCTGCATGCAGATGACTTCGCCTCCCATTTTTTTTATCCGCTCCCTTTCCTTGGGTTCATGGGGTTTATGGTCCTGCGACAACATTTCCGGTTTCTGCAAGGGGGACACGCGATGGGCGTAAAAGAAACGAATGGCATGTGTAAATGCAAATAAACACAAAAAATATATATGTACATACGTATTTGTATACACATCTGTACATGCGTATGGGCGGGTTGCTCTCATGCTGCCATGGCGTCCGCGGCTTCTGCGTCACGTACCAAGGTATCGTTTACGTTGACGATGCCTATTGCCCGGCAGTCCCCAAGGTTGGCAATAAACATTTTGTTCTTTAGTACAATGAGGGCAATGACCGTGCAGCCATGATTGGGGAATTTGGAAATTTTAAGGAACTGTTCATCTGTTCTTAAGAAAGCGAGTTTTATACAATTGATGATTTCTTCATCTGTGAGATCTTCTAAAAATACAAGTTTTTTTTGGTTACTTATGCTAGTACTGGTGCTGGTTATTTTTGCCTCATCCTCCGTTATGGAGTTACGGTTGCATTGGTCCTTTTCTTCTCCCGAGCGTCCATCAGAATCGGCGCTTACCTTTCCCTCGTTACGCTTCTTGTTGTCATCTTCGCTTACTCTCTGTGATGGATTGTCTTCACTCTCTGTAATATCGCTGCTGTCTATTCTTCTTTTCTTAGTTTTTGAAATTTCGTCATTTACCATCGCGCGTTTGTCCTTGCTTCTACCTTCTTCCTTTTCGCTCTCTTGTGTGTTGCTCAGTGATGGCGAGTCTTTCTTGTCATCCCCTGTGGAAGAGTCCTGGCGGGAGATTTCTGTGGAGCTCGTATCATCACGATTTTTATTTTCATCCTTTTGGCTTCCGTCCCGGCTGTGTCTTTTGGCAGCTGTGCCCTGAACCTCCCTTTTATGTGTACCTCCTTTATCCGCGCAATTTTGACCATCAGCGGGATCCTGTTTTTTATCCTTTTTGGCAGACGAGGAGCCAAGTTTAAATTCATCCTGTCTGACATTGTCTTGATTATAAAAGTAGTAAATAATATTTTTCACAATGTGGGTCATACAATATTCGCAAGCCTTTATACCTCGGTGCCCATCAATTACGGAAAAGCAATAAAATGGATTTCTTTTGTATAAAAATAAAGTTTTGTAATCATAAGGATCTATGTACTTGGTCATATCGTTAATGACTGTGTACCGATCTTCCTGTTTTTTTCTCCTTCCTTGCATAGTTTTTGTGAAACTACTTAATTTTATGCTTTTTATTTTATTTTTTTTAAAAAAAAAGCTAGATACAAAATCGGTGTTATCAAATGTAGTTACATATAAAAAAAAGTACTTTTCATTAAACGGCGTCAAATTGTTGTTTTTGTCATAAAAAAAATAATTCTCTACATATGTATTGTAGTAAAGGAAAGTTTTCCTGTTCATTAGCCATTCGTACGTGTACATTTCCCACACCCCGACTTTAATAATGTAACTGATGATGTCATTAATGTTATTGTAATCCTTTACGTTTTTCTGCGTGTCTTCTTTGTTCTCGTCCGCATTATCCTGCTTGGGGCCACCTGGGCAGGGGCTCCTCTGCTCGGTTTTCTGCGGACCCGTTTGGGTTTCTTTCGGTGTGTTATTCTGTTCACTCGCCAGGGCTACCTTTGGTTCACCACCCTGCGCGGCCTTTTGGGCTGCCTTTTCCTCCGATCCCTCGTTGGGATTCATCATGGGCGAAAGAAATGTGTCGTTCGCACAAAGTTGGGTATACGTTTATATATACGCTCGTGTGATACTACGTTAGTATGTATTATACACGCCAGAATCTACCTACTGTGCGTGTAACAAAAAAAAAAGGGGAATATCGTATGACTGCAGAGCGCCTACAGTTTCGCGTTCACATAGAGGCAATCCTATGTATACAGGAATAAACATGCATGCGTATCATATACAGTTATATGTGCAGAAACCTACGGTGTGCTTACATATATTTACAGTGGCACAGTTCTCTACATTATACTAATTCGCTCTTGTGTTTTTAAGTACACATTCAAAACAGCATGCATGGGTGAATATTTTTATGAAAAAAAAAAAATAAAAAAAATAAAAGAAATTGTTCTCTCATATCTGTCAAGAATAATGACGAAACTTGCAATCTACGCAACAACAACCACGTTATCTTTTTCATTGCATATAACATTGCTGCTTCAACACATACATACATGTGCCTATATGAATTGATTGCACTTTTGGCGCGACTTGTTTAAGCGTACATATGCATAAACGTGTAGCAATGCGTACATGTACGCATAGGTGCCTATAAACACACATGCGCATGGCAGCAGAATGAAAAAATTTTACGTTATATCAAGGTACGAAAAAAAAAAAAAAAAAAAAATTACAACATGGTAAAATAGGAAATGGGTGTTCAGCTCAACTGGTCGGTTTAAAAGGAAGTCTCAAAGTAAAATTAAAAAAGGGATAGCGGAAAATATAAGGATTTACAAAAATGAAGGGGCGTGACGCATTGACCACGTATTGCCATCAACTTCACAAAATGTGAAAGGTAGCTCTCTACTCTGCTGGTGGAAATGTTCCTTGCAACGGAACTTGCAAAGCGGTTGTGCGGTGAACGGGTGAAGATGGTATACCACACCTTTGGAGGAACGAAAAGGGAAAAAAGTGACCTACACAGAGGGAAACAGCGTGGAGGGAAGAGGGTCCTTTTCTCTGTTGGCTGGTCAACCTCAGGAGGCACACAAAACAGACCCTCAGACAAGAGCCACTTTGTTCCTCCTTCGCGATATGAGATTTCCCCAATATACATAGCGACGTACCATATTGCCACGTCCCCCGCCCCATTTTTGTCTTCTGCTGGCAAGGTAAACGAATTTGGGGTGACTACCTACATAGGAAATTTACCAACCCGTGGGAATTCTTTTTTGTTGTTTTTTTTTTGTTTTTTGGCGCTATCTTTTAAAGAATAAAAAAAAAAAAAAAGCAGTTGGGACATTAGTTAATTGCGATTTTTTCTTTACAATTCGATACAGCAGGAATTTAACATTTGGAAAAAAAAAAAAAAAAAAAAAAAAA